GTGGTTGATGGCCCTCCTGCTGTGCAGATCGGACGGTGTCAAAAGTGTCCCAGTCAGTGGTGTGTACGAAAAAAAAATGGACCCGCGCAGACAAGATTTTTCCGCCCAGCTAATCTTCTGTACATCGAAACAAGGGAGTCGCGAGTCTTCCGGTAGCGCTAACGCTGGAGCTGCGTTACGCCGGGTGATACCGAAAAAAGGGTACCAGCGTAAGCACCGCACGAAGACTCAAGGCCAAGGGTGTACTGCGGTTGGCATCATCGATGCTCTAAGCAAGTGCTTCTGGGTAGTACCAGGGCGTCCATCGGGACGAACCACCAACATGATGGCCATGGCGTGGTCCCTTCCTTCGTGTTCGACAGTTTTTCGAGCCATGCTCGTGGTAGGGGGGGGAAGGGCGGGCGTCCCTTTTGGCCGAGAGTGATCAGTCTCCTACGTGGAAAATACGTGGAACTTGCAGAATTTGGACTAGTCGAATTGAGTTGACTCAGGTGTGCGCCATCTTCGGCGCTCAACTTGGACGCGGTCCCATCGTTGTTTTTTTCCTCTTTCTGCTTTCGCCTCCCCCTCCTTCATCGACAATACCAAATACGTAGTAGGGTAGGCTAGCGCAGCCGAGGGTTAGTCCGATGTGGTTCTGGCAGTACGGAATTAAGAAGGATCTCGGGTAGGAAAGGATGGCATCTCAAGAGAGAAGGTCTGGCCAGCCTGGAGACAAGTCGCTCACCACCACCGCACTCAGATGTGCCGTTGACGGACGAAGACCGCTTGAGGCTGCTAATTTCGAAATGCTACGACGACAGAGTTCTGCCAGACAAATTTAGACATGGTGAATGGGTGATCGAGGGGGGAGTCCGTACCTTCGTGGTGAATCCTCGACTGGACGAGTTGACAACGAGCTGGCTCAAGGAGCAAACCATCACTATCATCTTTCAAGGGTCAGCCAGGGACCTGCCGATGCGAGTAAGAGAAGACCTAATCCGGGCCTATGAAAACAGTTGGTATTGTCAAAGAATTTTTGACCGTACCGCGAAGAGGGGGGGTGTACATGCAGAAGGGCCGAATGTTATCTCCTACGTGGCCAGGTCGAGAGAAGTTGCACAGTGGATGGTTGCCAAGGCAGAAGACGTCATCACAATTAGAAGGGTAGAATATTATATGCAATTTAAGTTGTGGATGACGAAGACGGAATTGGCGGAGAGAAGGAGAATGGAGGACAAGACGAAGTTTTGGGTGATGGAGATACGAGTGCCTCTACGTGTGATGTTCCATGTGGAGAGCATGGTGGAGACATCGATGGGGCACGTGGTCAATAGCCTCCCACCGGAGCAAGACATGACAAGGCCGAAGCTAATGAACCTCAAATATGAATTGGTCAGGGAGGCTGAAGAAAATTTTGAACCGGAGCTTCCAATCCGCGTAGGTAGGGAGATATTTAGGATTAAGTTCGTCTGCAAGCACACCCTGTGGTGTGACAGGTGTCGATGGTGGTTTCACACCTCTACGGAAGGATGTCCTCGCGCTGGCGAGGAGGAGGAGGAGACTCAAGGGTCAAATGCCCGAGGTCGCCAATGGCAGCCGCCAGCCAATAGGCAAATCCGTGATGCAGCAAGGGACGAGCTCGTCCGGGGAAACGAGGATAGACAGAGGGGCGCAGATTCAGCAGCGGCAAGACTGGCTCAACAAGAACGCGACGGTCAACGAGGAGACTCGACCTGAGAAGGGGGTTCGATGGGTAGGCAGATATTAGGAGGAGGTCGAACGTCACTCCCTGTAGGGACACAAGGTTTAGCAGGGGAAGGGAGTTCTAGAGGAAGACAAGGCCAAGGCAATGGGGCAATCTCTCCATCGCCCTCTACTAGAAGATTCGAGAGGGAATTCCAGCCGTACGTCCCGATAACTCGCCCTCAACCTTCCTACGACCACGGTAGGGCATCATACGAGAGGCAACCGGTTGGACAAGGATACCCTTACCAGAATATGTATGGGGTTGGACACAGACTCGAATACAAGGTGACAAGAGGTACGGAGGAGCGGGAGAAGAGGAGTGGACTGGCTGGACGCAGCGGAACCACCTCGGAAGACCATCAGCCAAGGCTCCCCCACCCAACGGAAGGGAGACAAGCAGACCACCAGGGCCAGGAAGCGACGCAAGTGGAAGCAGAGGACGACCTAGAAGCGGGGAGCAGGGACTCCCTTTCTCCTATGACCTCAATAAGAAGGGAAGATGGAATAGATGCCTCGCCAGCAAGAATGTCGATTCAAGGAGCGTCAATGACATCGTTAGGGGAGGAGCAGACGCTCTTGCCGCTAGTGTGCTCGAAGCAAGGACAGGAAACCTACGTCCTAGGTCTGCTAAACAGAGAGGGGGAGACAGTCGTGCCTGCCATAGTAATTAACGATTTTCAGTGGATAATTGGAGGAACATCAAACAAGTGGGATTGGAGGTTTTCCCTATGACGGCACTGACCCAACCTTCGATCGATGTTCTTTCACAGATAATTATTGAGCCGGGAGTTTCAGCAACATGCTTGGCAGATTTGAATCCGAATATGCCTTGGACCGAAAATTTGCAGTCGTCGGCATTTCTCCAGTGCCTGTCAGAGGGATGGCCAGAACAAGGAGTGGAAGGATCCAGAGGGATCAACCCCGCACCAGCGATTATCCAATCAGGGGATCGATCAGGTATCCTAGATAGATAAGGTACAAATTGCTACATGGAATGTGCGGGGATTAGGGGATTTGGCTAGGAGCGAAAAAGGGGAAGCACCTAAAATCATGGATGCATAAGAAGAGGATTGATATTCTGATGATCCAGGAGACTAAGCTAACGGAGGATAAACTGACACAGTTGAAGGATTGGTGGGATGGCCCCCAACTCTGGTCTCCCGCAAGGGGGACCAAAGGGGGGGTCGCCATACTGGTACACAGTAAAATTGATGAGTGTCTTGTAGACAGCGATAGTGATGCCTGGGGAAGGTGGTGTTGGATCAAGTTGGGAATTGGAGAGGTGGAATGGGTGTTCGCTATTGTTTATGCTCCTAACGAATCAGGAGAAAGAGCGCGTTTTTTTGAACTACTCCCCTATATCATTCCGAATCACAATCACCTTATGGTGGCTGGGGACTGTAATGTGGTAAGATGCCCAGGGCTAGATTCGGAGTCGGACGAGGGAATGACGGTAGATAGATGGAAGCTGCTAGCGTGGATGGAAGCTTGGGAGTTGAAGGACGTTTATCGAGACATCCACCCCCTGGAAAATGGGTACACGTGGATCGGTCGATCGGTGCAGTTAGCTGGGGTACAGAGGCGTCTTGACTTTTTCTTGGTCTCAGACCTGGCCTCGAGTGATGTGATCCAAGTCAGAGAACAAAATAAGTTCATATCTGACCATAAACCAGTGGTGCTGGAATGCCATACAACGTCTACAGAAAGCAGAGGGCTGGGTTGCTTCTGGCTCAATACGAAGCTGCTATTGGATGAGGGCCTAAGTTCTTGGGTAAGGACCTTTTGGGAAAATTGGCAAAGTGCCAAGACCTACTTTGAATCACTTGCTGAATGGGTGGATGCTGGCTTGCGCATTATCTCGGCCAGACTGGATGTGTTTTCTCAAATTGCAGCGTATGGCAGTAACAAGGAGGAAGCCTCACTGCGAGGCAGGGTGGAGGAAGCAGAAAGTAACCTGGGCAGTCACCCAGTGTCGGATGCCTTCTGGGCGGAAGAAAGGGCGGAAAGGTTGCACAGTTGGGAACTCCACCAGAACACAAAGCAAGAGAGGTGGACTCAAATTCTGAGAGTAAAAGGGTGGTCACCTCAGACAGACTGACAAAGCAGACTTTCCAGAGGCTGCTCCCGAAAAACAGGGCGATTAGAATGAAAGAGTTGCAACATCTGCACCTCCCAGGTCACCCAAGGGCCCAGTCAAATGTTGACATGTGCAACTATGCTGCAGAGTACTTTGCTGATATCACGAAAACCAGGCGCCCTAGGGATAGCGTGGATGATGACATGTCACAACTGTCAGCACTGTGGAACAACTTCCAAATAAGGATCTCTGAACAGGACAAGCACTGGATGGACAAACCGATAACGACGGAGGAGTTAAGAGGAATAGTGAAGGACATGGCACGGGGGAAGGCGCCTCGTGACGACAGGCTGCCTGTCGAATTCTTCGTTTGTTGCTGGCAAACGTTGGCCGAAGACCTAGTAGCCATGTTCAATGAGATCCTGACAGGCGGCAGACTGGGACAATGTATGACCAGGGGAGTTATTTCCCTCTTGTTTAAGAAGGGAGACCGCAGTGAAGTAAGAAACTGACGGCCTATTTCATTACTGAACGTGGTATACAAGATTTTGGCCAAAACATTGGCAACAAGGCTTAGCAACCTGTTACTCGGGCTAATCAGGAGGGATCAAGGAGCTTTTGTCCGAGGTCGCTCCATATTCGAGAACGTAGTTACGGTCATCGAAGCGCTTGAGCTCGTCGAAAGAGAAGACGCAGATGTGGCGGTCCTTTTGCTGGACCTCGAGACTCTGAGGGTAGCAGGGTTTGGAGAGCCTTTCTGCAAGTGGGTGAAAGTACTGTACGGATTCTCTTCGACAATAACCTGCGTAAATGGGGTTATTTCGCAGGAGTTCAAGCTTACCAGATCCTTGCGTCAGGGATGCCCACTGACCCCCCTCTTGTTCGTGCTGCATCTCGAACCTCTCCTCTGCAACATAAGAGCTCATCCAGAGATAGTCGGTCTTAAACTACCGAATGGGAACGAATGTAGGGTAAAGGCGCTGGCAGACGATCTGTTTGCTATTTCAAGCAATGAGAGACCCTCTGTGGAGGCGATGAAAGGATGTATCATGGACTTCACAGAACTGTCAAAGGCCGCTGTCAACTGGTCCAAATCTACTTTCTTCCTTCCTAAACAATATCCAATCACGGTACAGTGGGGTATGGAAAGAGTACAAGCGGATACAGCGGAGCGGTTCCTAGGGATACAGAATGCGTTGGAGGACTGCTCGTCCTCGCAGGAAGCTTTGCTGCAGGAAAGGATTAAGACAAGGGTGTGTAGTTGGGGGAAAGCAAGACACTTATCTCTGATTGGGCGGACCCTGGCAGTTATGGCATCAGCGTTCGCCCTGCTGTGGTATGTTGCAGCGATCAGAAAGTTTTTCTCCGACCCTGCTCAAAACAGCCAAGGCGGTGACCAGATGCTTCGTTTGGAAGTCAGAAGGTGATCCACCACGGGGCTTTATCTCGAAGGTGGCATGGCACACGATATGTGCCCCCAGAGAGGAGGGGGGTTTGTCCTTGATAGACCCAGGGTCTCAGAACAATTACTTGCTAGCCCGATGGGTAGTCAGAGTTGCAGAAGCGGAAGAGGTGGGTGACTGGATACTGTTGGCCGAAGCTCTGCTGGCCTCGGATAGGAAGTTGGCCAGGCCTTCTGACGTTTGGGTGGTCATTATGACAAAAACCTTTGCAGAGAAACGTCCCAACTCTAGATTTTGGCGGGACGTTCTGGCGGCGTGGAAACATGCAAGGCCAACAGAAAGGATTGCCCCCAAATCGAAAGAAGATGTGAAATGCCAGACACTCTTCGAAAATCAGTGGATAACAGACGATGAAGGCGCTCCCTTTTTGCTGGAAAGGAAGCCAGGAGCTTTTGGGCTAAGCTGGGCCCAGAAAGGTATCTCCTTGGTTGGAGACCTATGGGATGCAGGCACAAACCAGTGGAAACCAGACGCACACCTCCGAGAGGTGTTGAGACAGCTCCCCTTGAAAGAAGAACGCGCACAGAAGCTTAGAGCAGCTATCCCCGATGAATGGAAGTGTCTGCTGGGTCCGGAAGGGATTGATCCGCCAGGAACATGGTACAAGTGGGACAATGGCGAGGAAGAGTGGTACTGCAGACTCGAGAGCTGGTTTGAGGATGGGTCAGGCCGCTGTTGGTTGGAGACGTATAAACGGGTGAAGGCTTTCTCCCCCACGCTGCAGAGAGTGGGGATGCACTTCCAATATGGACTGAGGAACTTAACAGAGGTAAGGGTCAGACTGCAGGAGCCTGAGGAGAGAGGCCTCCCAATGGTTCTGCAGTTGGTGGCAAACGGGACTCCTTTAAAAGACCTGAGGATCGACGCTGCAACATGGGGATGGAGGATTAACGAGGAGCTGGCCACAGGACTGGAAAACCTCAGCGCAAAACTGATCTCAAAGAAGAACGGGGATAGTCTCTCCAACACGGAGATTGTACAGCATCGGTGGAGCAGGTCAGCTCCAACATTGACTTCCCCAACGTAGCTGGAACTTAACAGACTGTGGACTCAGTTGAAATACATCCCCTCACAGAAACTAGCATCGCTTCTGCGCCCGATCGAGGAAATGGTGGAGGTGGTGGGAGATGCACTGGAGAAGGTTTGCAGGACAAGCAGATCTCACAGGGGAAAGGTGGGTATTGCTGGGCGTGGTCCCCCAGTCAAGGAGCATATCAGAGGGGTGGGGCTATGTGGCCCAGGTGGGACGCGCTATTATGCTATGGGTCATTTGGTTGGATCGAAACAGCCTTCGATTCCAGGGTGAATCCCTCTCGGAAACCCAGGCAGAAGCTACCTTCCTATCACTACTGGCCACCGCAATTCAAGCAGACTGGTCACGACGGGTGGTACAGGCAGACAGAATGGAAGGGCGGCGCTGGTTCCAGGGAACCTGGGGCTTGGGCTTGGCCCACATCTCCCCAGAAGGAAAGCTGGTCTTGGGGAATTGGCTTACAGGTAGGCATAGGGAAGGGGGACAGTAGGGGAGTAGAGGGGTAAACCATGTGCACTCTGTTTCAGTCGGCAACCGCAGTGGGTTGCAAACGGGTAGGTTGGGAAGGGAGAGTGCCAGGGAGGGATGGAACATTGGGGTGTTCCGCTCGGTCAGGTTTAGGCCGGGGACCTACCATTTTAGGTCTGTGTATTAGGAATAGGGTATGTAGGGGACGAATAGGTCGCCTAGGGTAGGACATAGTAGGAATTGGTTAGCAGCTTGGAAGTAGACAGTTGAGTTGCGAAGAGAGAGCTAAATTGGTCGATGCGGTCTACAATAAGAATTGATGAAAATAGGAGTACACTGTCTGAAGAAGAATTCCTTTTGGCTCGCAGAGTACAACAATTACTCTAAGCTAAACCGGCTGATGCTGCCGGGATAACTCCGGGTTGAATTGTGAGGTCCCTGGCCTCAAGTGAATTTGTTTGGAATATAATGACTGTATAATTAAAAAAAAAAAAAAAAAAGATTTTCCCGCCTGCCGTGGTGTCGCTCAGTATCATTTTCTGCTATTAAACCTTGCATGTGGGTCGAGCCCCCTGGCGACACAGAAGAGTCTCTTTGATTCTGATGCTCTGTGTAGGGGACGAATCGGTGGTCGCAGGAGTTCCTCGGCGCGCCAAGTTTGACCCTGGGCAGCCATCAAATATCCGACAGTGGTACGGCGTATTTGGGCCCCCGTTACGGCAGCGGGTGGTCCTGCGAAAGGGGTGGAGAAGAGTGTGCACGGGACTGGGTGGTTTGTGGACCGCGGGTGGCGGGTAATGGGCTTGAGGGAAGGAGGTATGGGTGCGTAGATAGGTGTGAGCATCAACGGGGACTGAAGCGTTGTAACTTCGGTGTGTGTGTGTGTGTGTGTGTGTGTGTGTGTGTGAGAGACAGAGAGAGAGAGAGAGGTGGGGAGGGGTGGAACTAAACGGGGGGGGGGGGGGGGAGGAATTGAGACCGTTGAAGGGAGAGGCGGGCTAATCAACCATGTTTCAGGTAGCCGTGACTCCAGTATCAGCGTTAGTGGATAAGGCAACGAGTGAGTTGCTGATTCGGCCGGATTGGAGAGCGAACATCCAATTATGTGATGTTCTTAACACCGATTCTGCGTATGTTTCTGAACTCTTATTGTCTGTGTGGATTGGGGGATGGTTTCTCTCATTTTTCCTTTTCACCCAGCCTCTTCCTGGAGCCTCTCTCTCTCTCTCTCTCTCTCTCTCTCTCTCTCTCTCTCTCTCTCTCTCTCTCTCTCTCTCTCTCTCTCTCTCTCTCTCTCTCTGTGTTCGTGCCTCCATTTTATGTCCAGATGCTACTGAGGCATTCTTTACTCTCAGGATTTTCTATCCCCCGCCCCCCTCTTCTCTATTCCCCCTTTTGCGTTCCTCCTCGTCTCATTCTTTTCGCGTTCAGCTCCTCTCCATCCCGTCCGCTTAGATTCAGGGATCCATCCATGTGGCGTGACAGCGTGGCGTTGGTTTGTCACGGCCACGACGGATTAGTTAAGGTCCCCCAGCCGAACAACGCCGTCTTGACATTCTCAATGTTAACCTTTTTTTTTTGTCTTGAAAAGGGCATGCCCGTGAGCGTGGTGTCAACGTTCTATTCTTTTTCCTTTTTTTTTCCTTTTTTTTTGGTTTCCTTTTTCTCAATGTTCTTCTCCCCCCCCCCCTCCCCCCCGTTCTCTGACTCCGAACACCCTTAGGGCCTCGCCACACCATGGTCGAAACGAAAAACGTCCGACTGCATGTTTGCACAGGGACTGGTCAGATGCATTCATTACTATGACTAGTAACGGATGCATCTGATCACTATCTGGGGAAGATGCACTCGTACTTTTCTTGTTTCGACAGTGGTGTGGCGAGGCCCTTACCCGTGTTCCCAATTTGGTATGAGTGTGTTCTCTGCTGCAAATATACCCTTAAGGTCCTTACCCCTGTCCTCTTGTCCTCTTGTGCTAAACACCCTTATCCGTATCATTTGTCTGTCTCTGAACACTCTATCCATACATATCCTTTGTACCTAGACACCCTTAATCCGTACGTATCCTCTCAAATAGGGCCCTAGTTGCACCACTCACCATCCGCCAACATTGAATGCATCTTCTGAATCTTGGTGGATGGCGAGTGGGGCAACTAGGCCCCAGGACACCCTTACCCATGCATATCCTCAGAATCTGAACACCCTTATCCGCTGAATCTGGACGCAGCTATTCATATCCTCTCTGCCATTTCTTGGTTCTTCTCTTTGAACATCCGTATCCATAGCTGGCGACTCTGAACACCCTTATTGGAGCTGGACACACCCTTGTCCTCTGAATCTGGAGATGGTCGTTGTCTCCGTTCGAACGAACTTACACGTTCGATTCTACTCAGTCTGGATGACGTTATCTATATCTGGGTACTGTGAACACCTTCGGTGGAATCCTTCGACTTTCCTTTTTCCGCCCCTATGGTAGCTCGTTCTCTTCGTGTCTCTTCGAGCTCCTCTCTGTCCGCTCTCTGATGTTGAGCATGCTTCTCAGCCCATGCCTTTACTCCCCTCAGCGCTTCCCCCGGCCCCCCCCCCCGCGAACACACACTCGTCTCCCCTTTCACAGCTTATCATCACTTCCGTCGTCTTTATACCCTGTTCACGTCCTCCCTTTCACCCTCCTCCCTTAACACATACACCTGTCTCTTATACACATCTAGATGTGTATAAGAGACAGCACATACACATCCCAGCCCCCCCCTTCACAGCCAATCACGACTTTCGCCGTCTTAATACCAGCCCCCCCCCTTTCACAGCTCATCACTACTTTCCGTCGTCGTAGTACTCTTTTCAGACCCGTTCTCAACACCCTAGGTTCCTAGTTTATTCCCCCGCCCCTCCCGACCCTTCATGATCCCCTTTCAACTCTCTACCACCGGAGCACCCTTCTCGCACTCTCTCCTTTACACCCTCCTTCTCAATATCCTTGTCAACATCCGTTTATCTTTTGAATCACGCCCCCCTCCAATCACTTCCCAATCACGTTCTAGTCACTTTTTAATCACGTTCTAATCACCGATTTCCATCATCCATTTGTAATGAAACCGCTTTTCATCAATGATCTATATAGTCACAGCCTCTTGTCATGTTTCCTATTCGTTTTCTTTCTTCTTTTTTTCAAAGACTTCTCATTGTTCTTTCTTTTTTTTTTTTTGTATTTTTTCCCGCAGCAGGTTATAATTTTTCGTCTCGTTACTTTACTCAAGTTATAATATAATAATATTTCGTCTTGTTACTCTTTGGCCACACCCGTGATCCTAGTCATCCTTCTGCTCAACTTCTCCTCGTTCTTGTCATCACCCTTGTCACCATCCTTCCTTTGCTTTTCTTTGGCCCTTCGTTACTCCCTTTCGGATCACTACTTTTCAGCGCACGCGCTGTTCTTGGCGCTAGTTTTTTCCAAGGGATGTCCGTGGAGTTTTTTTTTAGTTCTTCTCAAGGCTGAGGTCTTTGTTCAGTTCAAGATGATTTCGCGAAACACGTTACTGAAGAGCCTTTTTCACATACTCAACTCACTCTTACCTAAATTCTTTATCTGTCCTCTCAATACCACACTATTCAAATTCTTTATCTATCCTCTCATTACCACACTATTCAACAGACTCGTACCGAAATTCTAAACTGTCCGCGCAGCAGTACACAGGCCGAAGGAACAGCTTGAGGCCCATCGGCTTGAGAAAAAGTGAGAGAAGGCATCAAAATCTAGTGGACCCCCATTACGTTGGTTCCAATTGATTCGAATCGGACACTTGCAGTGGCCATTGCTTGCGAGGGAAGTGGTGTTGGCCAGTAGTTGATTCTGGAGTTTTCTCAATCAACTCTCTCTCTCTCTCTCTCTCTTGAACGATAATCTCTCAGCAGTGGTCTTTTCCTCTCAAGGCTTCTATTAACACCCTTTCTCAACACAATTTGACACTCCAGATGTCAACACACCCTTTCTCAATATTCTCAACATTCTCAGCATTCTCTACACTTTCTACACTCTCTACAGCCTGTGAACACTCCCAACTCTCTGTCAACAGTCTCCACTTCTCTCTACACTCTCTACACTCTACAGGGAAAAGACAGTAAGATCACCTCTACAAGAAAGACAGTTGCAGAAGGACTCGCTACGAGACCGTATCATACCGGATTACTTTCTACACTCTCATCACCCTCTACACTCTTTCTACACTCTCTCAACACTCTAAACACTCTCTGCACTCAATCGGAACACTCTCTCGACTCTTAGAACTCTCTGAGTACTCTCTCTGGACTTTCTCAACACACACTTTGAACTTTTTGAACACTCTCTCGGACTTGAGAACACTTCTTTTCAACAACGCGTTTGTGAACTTTGTACCTCGACACTGTTATTACCCATTCTTCTCTCCTTTCAACACCCTCCTTACCTTCTCTCTTCTCGACTCCTCAAGTCAAGTCCCCCTCTCTCTCTCTCGCTGACGAAATACTCTTTTGCTGAACTCTTATCCTCAAAACTTCTTCTCAAAGCTCTTCTCGGCGCTCCTCTTCTCACCTCTCTGGCTCTCAGCACTCTGTCTCTCAAACGCTCTTGCCTCTCAACACCGTTTTGATCATCGGTCTCCACACCCTCCTTATTGCTCCACTTCTTCCCCCCCGCTTTCCACCCCTCCCCCCTTCCGGCCTCCCCTCTTCTCCCCCCTTCGTCCTGATCACTCTCTTTGTGGATCGCTCTTTCTGAACGCCATTCATTCACATGGCTCTGGGCATCCCCGCCTCTCAAGCAACGGTTGTCGGTATTCAATCCTGAGATGTTTTTGTGGCGTTGGCCCAATCACCCGCGTTTTCGATAAGGGAACGTAGCAGATCAGGTTAGTTCTTTTTTTTGTTAGTGACTTCGGGTCATTCTTCTTTTGTCAAAAATCTGATTGGCGCTTGATCGTGGAATTTCGCTTTGACTCTCCACGCACCTCTCCTGCTACGT